CAAGAGACTGACCTCTCCATCCTGTATAGACGCGGCCACCATCTTTTTCAAGAGCTCCACCGGCTGGTTGTTGTAAAGGGTCTTCCTGCCACCCACCATGTTGCCCAGATAATCCACCGTGTAGAGCTGGTTGTATTTGTTCCGGGGACGAGGATCGTTCACCAGGCACACCTGTGAGATGGGAGTGCAGAGGAGGGGGCAGGTTAGGGGAAGTCAGGTGTAGGAAGGGGCAACCCCCTGGCTTGGTTGGGATGCCCCACCCACCAGCCAGATGGGATGGTTTCAATCAGAGATGTCCAACTTTGGCCACTTTTAAGACTGGGGGGGACTTCAATTCCCAGAATTCCCCAGCCAGCGTAGGATTAGAACTCTTGACCTTCTGGCGATTGGCTCAAAGTCACCCAGGCGGCTTTCATGCTTTAAGGTGGGACTGGAACTCACAAGCTCCTAGTGATTGGGTCAGAGGTCCCCAGCCAGCTTTCCTGCCTAAGGCTGGACTAGAACTCAATGGTACCTGGTGATTGGCCGAAAGTCACCCAGTGGTCTTTCCTGCCTAAGGCTGGACTAGAATTCAATGGCACCTGGTGATTGGCCCAAAGTCACCCAGCGGTCTTTCCTGCCTAAGGCTGGACTAGAACTCAATGGCACCTGGTGATTGGCCCAAAGTCACCCAGCGATCTTTCCTGCCTAAGGCAGAAACTAGAACTCAATGGCACCTGGTGATTGGTCCAAAGTCACCCAGCGGTCTTTCCTGCCTAAGGCAGAAACTAGAACTCAATGTCTCCTGGTTATTGGCCCAAAGTCACCCAGTTGGATTTGATGCCTAAGGCAGAAACTAGAACTCAATGGCACCTGGTGATTGGCCGAAAGTCACCCAGCGGTCTTTCCCGCCTAAGGCAGAAACTAGAACTCAATGGCACCTGGTGATTGGTCCAAAGTCACCCAGCGGTCTTTCCTGCCTAAGGCAGAAACTAGAACTCAATGTCTCCTGGTAATTGGCCCAAAGTCACCCAGCTGGATTTGATGCCTAAGGCAGAAACTAGAACTCAATGTCTCCTGGTGATTGAGCCAAAGTCACCCAGCTGGCTTTCATATCTAAGATGAAACCAGAAGTCACAAGCTTGGATCAAAGGCCCCCAGACATCTCTCATGATTAAAGTGGGACTACAACTCCCCATCTTCTGGTTTCTAGCCGAGCACCTTAGGGTTGTTTACAGAATTAAGTGGGGTCAAATCTCTCGTGGGCTTCCCGTACGCCAGGGAAAAAAAGGAGAATTACAATCAAATCGCCCTTCCTGGTTGAATCCAAAAAGAGGATTCTGAAGAATTCTGAAGGAATGCTGAATATATTGAGGAGGAATGCCACACTGAGAGACACAGCTGGGCTGGGCTAGATTTGAGAAAAGGGAGTTCAGGATAAGAAATGTGCCCAGATCCCTAAAAAAAGAGATTTTTTTTATCTCTAGGATCAGGGAAATGATCACTTGGTCAACTAAAAAAAATAAAAAATACTCCTTTGGTCTTTTTAGTTGCCAGCAAAAAGGGAGTGGGAGAAAGCAGTGCATTCCTTACATGATTCAGATAATTGCTAGGCAGCCGAAGCTGTTGGCGTGCAAGATTACTACTGGAGAGCATGATTGATGACTCTTGGCTAGGTATGTGTCCCATTGGAGAATATACATCCACGGGGTGCGGGGGAAGACCAGGGTCAAGGGGGAAATGAATGATGGGTCTTAAGAGTCGGCTGCACCCAGCTAACGCCGACATGGTCACTCCTAATAAATCTTTTTTTTTTTTTACTCTGAGAGATGCGGCTAGAGACTTATGATTTGAACGGGGGCGGATTTGTCGGAGCCCTGACACACTTCGTGTTGGTTGGCATGGCGAGACCTTCGTACCTTGCTCTCCATATCAAACAATGGTTTGACGTGCTCTTGGTAGAACTTTGCGGGGCTGATCGGGCCGATCTTGTGATAATTCTTCTCCTTGTCGTAATATTCCCAGCAGAAGGTGGTGGGAGGGCTCCCCAGGCAGATGCTGACGACCCGGAAAACCTGGAAGAGAACGCGGTTGTGGGAACCCAGCCACCCTCTGAATGGGTTGGCGGGCGGCTGTGAGAGTTTGAAACGGTCGGTTGCCAGTGGAGGAAGGAAGGACGCGGAGGGGAAAGGGAAGCGTGGCAGCGCCGTAGTGGGGTTTGATTCCCACGGTCACCGAGGGAGGAACCTCAAGCTGGAAGAACTTAATATCTGGGTAAGACCACACTTGGACTACGGCACCCAGTTTTGGGTGGTTAAAAAAAAGAGGTTGACACTCTGGAAAGAGTGCCAAGAAGAACAACAAAGAGGCAACTGGAGGCTAAAAGTTATGATGAATGGTTGCAGGAAATGGGCCTAGCTTGTCTGTCTGTCTATCATCTCTGTCTGTCTATCCATCTATATCTTGTCAAGCTGTCCTGTCTGTCT